AAAAAATACTCGAAATTTTTTATGTCGTGCTTATTACATACGTATTTACCTTCTGCAAAAAAAAATTCCATTCGCATTCTTCTTCTCTCATTTCTTTGAGTTGTTTAGGTCGTGCTTGTTTATCAAATTTCTAAAAAAAATCTATCTTAGTTCAAAATCTAACTCAACTTTAATTCAACCTCATTATCGTCAATATTATCAATATAATTAAATAATAGCATTCAATCATTTTTACACACTACATCAACTTTAATTCGCTATTCATCCATCCACATAATTTTAACTATCTATCATTTCCAATCATTTATCTTGTACTTTGACATCAAATCAATTTTAATTATTTTATTTTAAATATTATATTAATACATTCTTAAATTTCCATTAACAACAAACAATACTAACTTCTTTCAAATAAACTCTAGTTAACACAAAAAATAAAATAAGAACCAGTTTTTTCTAGGTTTTTATAAATAATTACTTGCCCTAACGAAATCCATAACATTGACAATATATTGATCATCCCTTTAGAATATTTATAATTCTACTGATAACTCATTCATTACATCTAAAATTCGTCTCAGTAGAAGAAGACAAAATATGAAATCAAAGGATTGTATCTACACTATCAACAAATTACATTGTCATCTTTGATCAGCAATAGCACCATCCTCGATTATCATTTCAATAAACCTAATTATAGAAGAGAACATAGATATAATGCTCAACTTCGTTTTACATAAACTAGTAAAAAAAATCTTAAAATTATTTCTATTATATCTCGCAAGTTTTCCAACTTTGTATTTTCGTCCTAAATATTTATTCAGAAATTATAACTACATATGTTTAGCAACAAAAATTCAGCCTGGGCAATTTGCCAGGCTGGCCCAAGTGTAAATCCGTCACAACAAACACTACATTTGAAAAATTCAATGATTAATAGGTGGAATAAGTAGTGTGTTAACAAGTAAAAATGATACGTGTGACGCTTCACCGTTTCATACTCATTGTATCAATCATTGATTGACTGTTACCTGTCATTAGTGGCAGTCTGAACCTGCTTATTAGAGGTCCTATAAATGAGACATGTTTAGTTGCAGTCTGCAGAAAGAATACACTAGACATATCATCTGCATACTTATGCTTTAAAAAACTTCACCATCATAATATTAAAATTGGCTCTAATCTTGGTCTTTTGAGTTTTGAAGTCTAGTATACTACAACTTTGAAATGCTTTTTGTTGTATCTTTGAAGCAAATGACACAAACCCGTTACTACTACATGGAACGTATTTATTTTGTAGAAAGAGATTTTCTCGCATTGATAATTCTCTTCCCACAATCGTTATTTTTTTTTTAAATTAAATTGGAAAAACTAAATTATCTATTAAGTTTGGTAGTTTCAGTTGTAATCTGTACGCATTTTTAAGAAAAGAAACTGCTGCTTATAAATAATAATTATAATAAAAAAAATTCATCTTTAGCTGGTTCAATAAATTGATTGCTATCCACATGCTATAAAAGCTCTCAAAACAGAGCAATTATTGGCCATGCTTCGTGTAAGAGGCTGATTGACCCTTGCTAAACAAATAGTATTAATTAATTATTTAATTTAAGTAGTTGGTCAAGAATCAAAAGAGCGTACCACATGCAGAGCAATCTTTTTTTTCCATAATCGTGCCAGCATATATATCCACTTTCAGAATGACGGAAAATTCTCACTTCTTAATTGAATTGTCACTTCTTAATAATATATATAATGGTAAAGCTATGAATTAAATGGTGCAAATAGGAGAATAAACCACTTTTAATCTTTATTTTCCTACATAACGAGCTAGTATTAAGAACCATTAAACATTTTAGCAAAATGGAATTAGATGTTTCGAATCCAAATTCTAGAAAAAGAAGAAGCATCTTTTTAATTGGTATATAGCATTGGATGAAGTATAACTTGGAATTACGGATCCAAATTGGTGCATG